ACTTGTCACTTTTTTACCATTGTCACATTTAGCAAACTCATTTCAGTCACTTATCATCCAGACAAAACAATAAAAGGTATGTGAGTAAGAGAAAGGCCAAACTGTGGTCTACTTCCCGACAAGCAGGACCTGCTGAATTCAACAAAGCCACTAAACAAAAGAATCCTCAGGCCTTACAAGGAAAGCCATTATGGCAGTTTTAATTGAATTAAGCGTGTGCTTTATTTTCTCTGCTTTCTTTTTTTGTCTTCTCTTACTTTCCAATTAATAGCGAGTGCATCTCTCCCGGTCTGCTGTGTTAATTAACTGCACTTTGCACCTGAAGAAAGCTCAAAAGGAGGGAACTATTTTCAGTAGGTGGAGCGTGACCTTATTAAGAAGTCGTGCTGGCTAGATAATGAGAGCTCTGATTGAGCGACATTATTACTCAGCACTGACGACAACCGCTGCTCCTTCTTTAGAAGCAAATAGAAACGTGTGTTTAAAAACGACTCACAAAGTGCCAGCTGGAACTACTCCGTTCTAACCATCAAGCTTTGCAAAGTTTCATATTTTGGGTCAGAAATAAAGTTATTATAATAAAAAAACAGGATCAATCCGACCCAACTTCCCTCCCTTGCTCTCCACCAGAGGCCAACACTTCCTCCCACACATTTGTCGGTCCGATAAACAGTTTGTATTTAATTGTTAGGCATTTGGTTTTAAAGTAAATACATTCTGTTGCGATGTAAAAAGGGATTTATGTTATTTATTTCATTTATTTCATTTTCTGTGTTTTGTTTTTCATTGAAACACAAAGCCATTGAAGCCTGTGCTTTACAGTGTGACCAATTACAGTGGTGCACTTGTGTTTGCTGTCCTGTCTATTCTCGTTTCTCCCTTTCTCTTTCATTCCTCACTCCCACTATCCCTCGCTTCCTCCTTTTTCTTTTTCCACGAGAGCCGTCACTAGTAATGAGGCCCAGCTCTGTGTATGCATGCACCTCTGTGTGTGTGAACGCCTACTTGCTTGTCTGTTTCTCTGTGTGTTTGCTTCTTGTGTGTGTGTGTGTGTATATCGGGGGGTTGAGCTCCTCACATGGTCCAGTCCCTGTCACTCCCTGTGAATTAGATTGATGATAGGCGATGGCTGGGGCCACTAACTGGACCGGGGAGGCGGGGAAGCCTGGCCCCTTGTTTGGAAGACCCTTTCACCTCTCAGCAGCTGCTGGCTGCGCTCCATCCCCCTAACAGTGTCCACAGGACTTTGAGCAGACACTCAGCACCACCTAATTTATGACCCAACTAGCTTGTTACTGTCAGAGTCTCGCTGACCTAAATTCAGCTATTGACAAAAAGATGAAATGCTATTTGTTTAGCCTGACCTTTTCTCCCTGCAGCCTGTCTTACATCACCAGCACACCTGTCTCCCTTCTTGTCTTTCTTTCCCTGTCTCATATTCTCTTGTACCTCAGCTCTCCTTTAATCCACTCTAACGTCCTCTCTTCTTTTTCTCTCCTGACAGCTTTCTAAAGAACGTGAGCGTCTTCAGGCGATGATGGCCCACTTGCACATGCGGCCCTCGGAACCCAAGTCATCTCCCAAACCAGTGAGTGCATATTGCTCTGGCCACCGTAAACACACCGCGGCTATGAATGAGGCCCACACACAGAAAATGAACAGTTTAAGCACCCGGGAGTTGTGAGAATGAGTGACAGAAGCTGAAAGGCGTGGGGGGGGGAATGGGATTTGTAATACCGAGTTATATCTGCTTCTTATCAGGTATTGTGAGAGGACAAAGGAGTTTGGGAGTGTATTAGATGGCAGAGCGGTGGAGTCCTTGGCTAAAATGCAGGGTCATTTCTTCGTGATGGATATAATAGCCAAAACAACCTGTTGGCTGCTGATGACTGTTTGGCTCTGTAGCACTTGAACACGGAATGAGAGAGAAGAAGATATGTCATTTTAACAACAAACACCTGAAAATTACAGCCGAGTGGAGAAGACGGTGTGATGTTGACATAAATACCCGCCACTACTGAAATTGGTTCCAGAGAGAAAAGAAAATCCAAAATTGTGAAGGGGTCATTGAAGGAAAACGATGTCATTCTGCATTTCTTTCCTTTCTATTGCCTTTTACTTTTTGATGGGATGATTACAAATGCATTTCTCCCACCCTGTGTTTAAGATTTTTTTTGCCTAGTTTTGAAATATTTGAGAGCAAAACATTGTTTCTGCTGCTCAGTAAGTGCTGCTTACAATAGAATAATTCCTCCTCATCATAGAATGTAGATAATCACAAGATAGCATAATTATCCCATAATTCCATCAGGAATCAAACTCCCTTTTTATTATTCAATCTCTCACTCTCTCTGTAGATTTTTTTTTTTTAATCTTCAAAACTCCAGCAGCTTGGTTCCATCTCGTCCAATAACGCATTTGCAGCCTATAATCCACGCCTGAATATGAATGAATGATGCTAATGAAGTATTGCATTACATAAAGCACACATGAAAGAGCAGCTAATTGCATTTGATGGTGGGGGAAATTCAGACAGAATTCTGAAACGAACATTTTAAGTCTTCAGTTTTAAGTCTTCCGTGTGTATTTTATTTTTTTGAGGAGGTAGGATAAGGATTTGGTGTGGGGAACAACAGCAGAGCAAAAGTGACATAACTAAGAGAGATGATTGGTGGATGTAGAATCACAGGTGGAGGATAGAAACATTATACATTTAATAAATATAAAGGTCCTTTTTATGGAAATAAGTCAAAATGTTACATTAGTGAAGCCCACAAACGACACTGCCAGACGAATACAAGACAACGATGATCTCTCTCCAATATGACCACATTTATTCGTCATTAAATACTACCTTATGGCCTTCAACAGACAAAAACCAAAGTTAGCAAGGCTCCAGTTACTGAATAATAACATATCTTTATCTCTCATAACCTTGAGTGTGTGTCTGAGATGAGCAGAGAGGTGACAAAGTGCCCATCAAAAAAAGGGATTGTACACTTGCAAACATGTCACGCTTGTTGCCGTGCCTCGTAGGTGAAGAGGCGGCAAAAATTATGTTTTTACGTTATAAATATACATGCCTATACATTAAGGCATTTATTTTGACTTTAGTTTGCATACTTCAAGGTGTTTTCTGTTCTGCTAAATGTCTTGCCGGATGCAGGGGATACCACTGAGCTCAACCACTATGAATTAAATGGCAATCTATGAAATTAATAAATAGATGATTGGGTTAGGTTAATGTCAAATAAAACAAAAAACATAGTAGTTTCAGAGAAAAGAAAAAGCCCAGTGCTTGTTTTTTACAATTTTTTTACGTCAATAATAATCAGACCTTTTGCTTTATAGATATAGAGTATATACTTTCCTTGACCCCCCCCCCCCAACTATCGTCCTCATTCTCTGTACCGAGGCCTGTATATGCAGCCAGCCCTCGTCCCATCACTGTAGCAGCTCATTAAAGCCAAGTGGGCATAATTATCATCTGAATCCCCCTACATCCACCGGGCTCTCTCAAACTTGACATTTCATCGTATTTATCAACACATGCCTCAAATGACCGCTGATACCTTCCCCTCAGCCCCTCGCTCCATCTCTCAGCGCCTTCAGGCCCCCCCCACCCCCAGTTCCCTTCCTTCTTTCAAGTCGCTTTTAATTCAAACTCCGGCGTCCAATGCATTCCACTTGTAGACTCACAATTAAGGCAATTTGGTTTGAATATGTAACGATGTCATTACCATTCCGGCTAAATTAGCACGGAGACTAAAAGGTCAGTTAGAAATTTTCCACTCGGTTAGAGCCTCTCACATGAGATTTGGGAAGCGAAAGTGGTGGAAAAAGGCCGGACGATTAGCGAGCGCGGTTGGCGTTCGTGCCAGAGGTGACTCTCCGGTCCCTGATGTTGAAGGAGACAAAGACTGAGTGTCTGCAGTCACCATAACTGCCCACACAAGTTTGTTATATCTAACTTTAAGAGTATTCTCAAATAGAAAGAACATGACATTCTACTACTTGTTATACATCCTCAAATTAATCAGCTATTACTGTTATAATATCTAGTTGTGTTTTGTTTTAATAGCAGGGTTTTTGGGTGATTTGGCCGAGAGTTCCTCCTAACATCTATGAAAAAAGGCTAAAATAGGAACTTTCATTCCAAATGTGATCTGCTTTCTGCTTCAGTGTGAAAGGGTTATGGGTGGTTGCAGTAGGGGGAGATGGAAGGAGGAGGGAGGGAGTGATAAATAGAGAGATAAAGAGAGATGGGGCCGGGATAACACGGAGGCTGATCGTTGGATAATCTCGAACAGCGTGCTCTAATTAGAATTCTTATGATACAATTTGGTAGTTGTAATTAGTGGAGATGGGCTGGCTCCTCTCCACGAGCCTTGTTAGTGGAAACACAGCTGTGTGAGAGAGGAGGGGAGCACACAAAGTAACGCCTTCCTGTCTTTCCTCATCTCCTCCCTAGCTCAACTTGGTGTCCAGCATCACCATGTCCAAGAACCTGCCCTCAGCATCGCCCCCCAACTTACCTCAGACGCCCACCACGCCCACAGCCCCCATCACCCCCATGACTGGCATGCCCCAGGTGCCCTCAATACTGGGAGGAGCCAACGTCCCCAGCATGGGAGCCATGCGCAGACGCCACTCGGACAAATACTCCATGCCTCTGTCGTCAGGTAGGACCAACTACTCAGCACTGAGCATGACACACACACAAAAATGCTACGTCAGCGCAGGCAATTCAGTTTCAAGCTAATCTGATCACATGATGTTTAAATACAATCCTGAGAAATGGGCAACATAAAAGTGTCTTTTTGTGTTTCAAGGAAATTCAACTGCTTGAATACATTATGAATCGACCCTTACACCCACACACACACACACACACACACACACACACACACACACACACACACACACACACACACACACACAATCTAATTCTGTTTTTGTGTCTCTGATATGACTTTGATTAAATTCAGATTATTTCCCCCAAATGTAAACTCTGTACTATTAATAGTACTCAACCCATAATGGTGTTGTACTACTATTTTAGAACACACACAGACATGCACGTGAACACACACTGACATAAACACACACCACCACAGAGGCTTGTTGGTCTTAGCCAATGTGAGACGTCTGCTGCGGTTTATAAAAAGCAAAGCCTGTGTTTAATCACTCTATATGTAAATAGACAAGAACTTCCTCTGTGCATAAATATTACATGAATGTTAATTAAGTTCAAATAATGGTGAAAAAAACTACAATATTTATTACATTAAGACATTCCATGTATTAAGCTTTGCATTTTAAACGGTCCGTCTTTGATGTTTATATTTACTCTGTGTTTAGCGTGAACACATCAATTATTCAACTTCACCCTAACTAACTACACGGATCTCATTTTATGGATGTATTAGTGTTTAAGATCCCTCACGAGAGAGATTAATTAAAAATGCATTTTGTTAGACATAGAAAATGCTGATTTGATGTGCTCCCTGTAACCCCTTACCCCCACCCTCTCTTTCTCCCCCCTTTTCCCGCTCTTTCCCCCCTTGTAATTTGATGAAACCTTGAGCAAATGTAATAACTTATGGAATCAAATTTACCCAATTACTTCAGGTGGTGAAACAGTATTTATTTTTCCAGAGATCGCCCCAAACTACGAGTTTTATAAGAACGCAGATGTCAGACCGCCATTTACTTATGCAACCCTCATAAGACAGGTGAGTGGGAAATAAATTAACTTTGCCTGATTAGATTAAAATTAATTGCTGCATGAATCATGGCAGCTCTCTCAATCCGTTGCTGTGTGTGTGTCAGTTAGTCTCGTTAGTAAACCATTATTTGATGTCATCTCATTTCAGGCTATCATGGACTCTGCCGACATGCAGTTAACGCTTAATGAAATCTACAGCTGGTTCACACGCACGTTCGCCTACTTCAGACGCAACGCTGCGACTTGGAAGGTAACCTTGATGAACCCCCCGCCCCCTCTACGTAACCCCCACCCTTCACCTCGCTGGAGTCAAAAAACCAGAAGAAAGCACATATTTACCCAAAGATTAGCACTCTCTCTCCCCTTTCTTCCTCTTATTTATTTTGTCCGCCTTTTCTATTTGAAAGGAAAAAAATGACGCTGCCTCGGATATCGTTTTTCTAATTTGCCGCAATTAATAGCGGAGGCTTGGCGAGGAGAGGAGAGGGCTGTGAGGCACTAATTATACAGCAGCCACTCCATCATCAGCACCTTTTGTTCAAACAGACACCCCACCTCCTACTCCTGAAACCACCTTCTCTCGCATATCATTGGTTAATTAGGAAGAAAGATGGCTGTTAACCAGCTCTCAGCTGCGCGCGGGGGAAGGCCTCGTGTACACATAAACTGTGTCGAAAAGAGGGGTTAAGGGTGTGGAACTAAAGCAGGGGGGACAGTGAGAATTGGCCTGTCATGGAGGTAGCACTCTTTATTTACCCACACAAAGGGGCCCATTTGTATATCTGTCCGTGCAACTTTATTGTCCTGTCTGCCTGCACAAAGATGGTGAAAGATGGTCTTCCCCGCAGCACACTTCGTTTGAACCAAAAGTGTGTCTGCCGGCTGATAAAGAAAGCCCCGCTGAGCGCCAGTGTTTTTATCCCGTGGCCCCTGCCCGTCGTTCGTTAGCCGCCTTTAGCCTTTGTGGCTGCACTGGAGGGAAGCCTGGCCCAGCCGCTCATCAGCATGCAAGACGTGGCGCAGCACTAGATTTAGCAAAAGTGAATTAATTTGGATTTGGGATGCAAATGAGCACATGGGTGTGTGATCACCAATTCAGGAGGGCACGCGAAAAAGATCGGTACACTTTTCCAGTTTGTTAGGTACAGTGATGTTTTGCTGTGTAATAATGTTATGACAAGATGTGTTCTAAGAGGCAGAAAAACAACTTTCATTTAAATGTTTTTCTGTATTTCCTGAAAAAAACTGATTTAATAGCAATGATATCACAATGACATTTAGAAATCTAGTCTGCCGGCCACACATAATAACCAATGTGATCTATGTACATCCACAATCCCCTTTGTAAGCATTAATGGGATGATCAGCGCTGGGCTTGTCATTTGATTAACAGAGAGAATTTGTTTTTTTTATAGCGAAAAGAAAGAAATGAAAGGTAGTTTAATATCTCAGCGTCTTCTCATCAGCTCAAAAGAAGGATCTACCCCCCCATCCCACTTTCCCCTCTCTCTTTCTCCCTCACCCAGAAGCTTATTAGTTCTAACTATATAGCATGCATAATAAAACTGCTCATTTGCTCATTAATATTAAAATTATCATATTCAGAGCCATGGGCATTAAGATCAATCAAATCCTGGGATTTTCAGGTCAGATGCGAGATCTGCTTATGAGTTTTTTTTTTAAAGCCCTTTTTCTTGGAGAAAGAGCAGTACACACCGAGGGAAGGGACATGATAAATATGAGAGGCAGGGATATTAAAGCCAAGGTTATTATTTGTAGACTCTGATGCATGTTTTAATTACGGTCATATGGTGGAATTAATAAAATAGGGCTTTTTCTCTTATTTTGCCACTAATGAAAACACCTTACCGGTAACATTATGAAAGATATATCATGTTTTAATTTAAATACAGCTTTGATAATACATTGAAAAGATAATTGTGTCATGTATGCACTATGCAACGCTACATTTGACAGGATATTTGGACATATAGATGTCAGATACCTTAATCTTCCTCATTCTTACATGCACACACCCTTCCTGACACAGGGGCCTCCTGATGAGTGTCTTTTTATTCTTGCGATACTGTCATCTTTAAAGCGACGTGTCCATTAAGAGAAATGCTTTTCTGGAGCCGAAAGGGTTACTGACATCACCATTATCAAGGCCGGCATTACCACTTCTGTCACCACCATAAGCCATTCGCTATGCTGATTACCTCCTTTTAGCCTACTTACTCTGATTGATATGTACTGTGTGCAGGACTTGTAAGAGCATTCGCTCTCACTCAATTTTTACTAATTAAATCAATGGTGCGTGAATGTTAAGAATTTCTTCAAAATGCCAGAAAAAAATCAATTTCCCAGCCTTCTTTCTTTCTTTCTTTCTTGACGGTTAATGAATGAATATGATTAGGTTTTACCTCCTCCCTCTGACCTGCGTGTCATGTCTCTCTGCAGAACGCTGTGCGCCACAACCTCAGTCTGCACAAGTGCTTTGTGCGTGTGGAGAACGTGAAGGGGGCGGTGTGGGACGGTGGACGAGATGGAGTACCAGAAACGCAGGTCGCAGAAGATCACAGGGTACGTTCTGTCACCTCTCCTTAGATCCAGATCTGAAGGTCAACCACATCAAGAGGAAATCAAAAAGCTTAAATTCTGTCCTCTTTAAAACAGTCCTCTATGTGTCTGTTATGTACAGTATAGTCTTCCTGCTATGCATTTTGTTTCAATATTTGATATATTTTCAGCTGAAATTGATTATGTACATTGACTCATTTATTTTCTTTCCTCTTATGTCTCCAGGAGCCCGTCACTTGTTAAGAACCTGCCCTGCAGTCTCGGCTATGGATCGGCGCTAAACGCCAGTTTACAGGTATGAACCTGTGACTCACCGGCTGCCTGTTTATTTGACTGACAGGCAGGAGTGCTGCCTGACTGATGAGTGACTGAATGAGCGTGGTTGCGGTGAACAATAGGGCCCTACATTAGCACATATCAGAGGAAGTTTTTTTCCTAACTCAGGTTTCTGTAATCTCTCCCGCCTCCCTCTCTCCTCCTGTCAGACTCACTCGGCCCCCCTGTGGTCGAGTCAGGAAGCAGCTCTCCTTCTTTCTCCTCTTTCCTTCTCCTTTCAGCTGTGGCAGCCACTCCAGATTGATAGTGGCATGTGCGAATGCAAGGGCATGTGCATTAATATTTATCTAAGCTGTCATAAATGATTTGGCTTCATAGTGTACGCTGGCAAGGTGCTCATGGCGAAAACTTTAAAAATGTAATCACTGTATATAACTTTAATGCGCGGCAGGCGAAAGTGTCAGGAGTTTTTATTATTTTTTAGGTAAAGTTTTGGGGGACTTTTTTTTTAATAGCCACTCCACACAAGGGTATATACATGGCAGCTGGGGGGAGGGAGTTGTCAGCAAGGTGTCACAGGGGGGGACATAGCTGAATAAATAACTTCAGCATGAGACAATCTGTGTTTAATCATTTATATGTTAAATCTCACTCTCTCACCTGCTACATGTTCCTCTTGTATCACTCTTTCTCTCACACTCGTCCTCCCTCCTTACACTCTTGAACTCTTCTACCACTTTTGACATGATTATGCCCTCGTGTCTTCCCTCATCTAACATTCCCTCATCGTCCCAATAACTACCTGCCTTTTAATCCTCACTATCTGCCTCCCCCCCTGCAGGCTGCCCTGGCAGAGACCTCCCTGCCCCTGCTGGGGACCCCCGGCCTCATGAACAGCGGCTCCACGGGCCCCATGGGAGGCAGCTGCCACGGCCTCCTCGGCGGAGACCCCTCCATGCTGATGGGCGGGTGTCAAGGACTTTTGGGCGGAAGCCCACCAGGACTTTTGGGCGGCAGCCCCCCAGGTATGCTGGGCTACAGCCCCCCCACCCTGCTGCAGTCCGCCCATGAGGGACTCAACGGGCTTTACGACCACCTGGACACCAACGGACACGGCAGCCCCGGATACTCCCCCCCAGTACACATGTGAGTCCCCACACTGTACAAATACTATATACGATGCAGTACATATATGAAAATCACATCATAATTAGGGCTCATTTTTGTACTGTTTCTCACACACAAAATATAATTTGGTCTAAATATTATTAGATTTTTTGTTAAATGTCAAGAGAAAATAAGAACTCATTATCCTTTAAACTCAGCACCCCTCCCTGCTCACTCACTGTTTGAGAGATAATTGTGTCACATCACATTTCTTATGAAACCTCTCTGAGAATGCGAGCACATGTCCCCCCCCCCCCCTCCTGCACTGAATCCACTCGATGGCCTCATGCCCTTTGTTAGTTTAATTGCCTGATAGTTAACCCACAGTACCAGAGTGTTCCTCTGTATGCCATGACCCCGGATTCAGTTTCCTGTGTGAGTCCTATCACAGCCCCCCCCCCCTGTCTCTGCTGTGCTAATTTCAATGGCACCGTGCTAATACCTGAGGAGAGCTTGACGTTTGGGATAACAGTTAGTTATTAGTCTATAAATAGGCTCTATTACACATCCATCTTTAATTACACCACTGTGTGCATTATAAGGGTTTAGCTTCCATATTTTATGCAAGACTGTTCCTATTAATAATGAGCTAGTGTAATTACTTTAAAAAAAAATCCCTCCTTTTCCCATCTCTGTTTTAATGGAGCTGAGAGAGAAAGAGTGTTTTTAAAAAATTAATGCCATGTGAGTTTCAAGAAATGTCTGAGCCTGTGATGTCGCACAGGTCTGAAAGCAGCATGCAGGGAAACACACACACACACACTCTGAGACAAACAGAAGTTACACATTAGGGATTCTCAGCCACTGTCCATCACAGCTCATGTTGCAAAGTCAGGCTAACCACTCCTGTAATGGAGAAAGGATGCACTCGGGCTCCATGAAGTGAGTCTGAAGAGTGTTTGGTTAGTTCTTAGGCGTCCATACGTTAATCTGTACGGACGTGTTTACCCCGCTCTTAAATGGGGTGTGAAGTGGAGCAAATGTGCCCGGCTCCAGACAGAGTAGCACTCCCTCAGGTCATTCAACTTTTAGTAACCGGACAGCATTGACTTTCCCTTTTCCTGCTCCTTTCTCTGCTCTCTGGCCCTGACACTGACATGAGTGGCTGTGGAGGATGAGTCCCCCCCCTCTCCCCCTCCCGCCTTTACACAGCCACGACAACCTCAAAATGGAAGAAATGTGTTTTTCATGACTGCCTTTTTCCAGGATGTTGTCTTAAATAATGGAGTGGCTTGTAGCACTAAACTAAATAGTACACCGCCTTTAAGGCCTTTCTCAGGAGAGGACCAGCAAGTCAATCCAACAATTAGACAAACCTGCCCCCCCTTCCTCAGCGTCTGAAGGTTAATGCTATCTGCTTAACCGCAAAACCAGAGCGCCCCAGGCCATGCTGTGTGTGTGTGAGCATGTGCAACACACTGCTCAGGGCTATGCTTAAAAGAAGCGGCACCAGGACTCTGCCACTGTAAAACCAGAGGCTTGGAAATTAGCGACTTCACACAAAAGAGTGGAATATTTCCTCCCAGTCAGATTAAAGCAAGAAGAATCTGTTCCATATCACTTTTATTTCATCAGCTGTCTCGTCTAATTGTTTGGCGACCGCCCCTCCGTGTTAATGAATCGCAGTGAGATGTTATGAATGTATTTGATTGGCCCCTCGGTCCTCACCCCTTGCCTTCAACCTCCCCCCACACCACCTCTCCTGTCCCCCAACCTACCATTAAGGGCCGTGGACTAATGACCTTATTTGCATCCCTGACATACCTCTGCATGATTGCTGGTGCTAATCTGCCATAGATGTGAGCCCAGGCACCTCAGAGCACGCTCACACACACTCTCACACACACACACAAACACACACAAACACACACACACAGAGAGACACACTCACAGACGGACAGAGAAGCGTATATATTGCGCCGCAACGTCCGGCGTTTACTCCTGAGTGACTCAGTAATGGCAGCTAGCCATTAAGCACTAAACGGCTCATCCACATATTTTAATAAAGTGTCAGAGCGCTCAGGCCGCTGGATGTGTTCCTGCATATTTTTTCTTCAGAGACGCACAAACACTCTATGAGCTGCAAGGATAACAGAGGAGGGCTTTGGTTAGCAGTAATTAAATATGAAATAACACTTTAATGTGGTGGTAAGCATGTGTTTGTTTACAACACACTCCGGTGGGCTCCCATGAGTGGAGGCTGATTTATAAACAGATAATTCACTATAGTGCAATCCATAATCCAAAACTCCATGGAAGAAGTCAGAATAATTGACAAATACTGTACATTAATGATCCCTTTTAAAAGTGTTATGTAGTAGGTACAACCAACAAAAGGGACTGACTTTAATTTTGATAACACATGGGAAAAAAAATCCAACCACTTCCAATTTTGAGGTTTGACAATAAAACGTATGGCTAATCTTCCCTTTTTATATCACACATACATTTACATTTTTGTATTTGTTTTGTAATGTGTTATCATTAAGTATACACAAATACTAAAAACACTTTTATTTCCATGAATCTGAGTCACAAACAGAAAAACATTCCTCCCTCCTCCCGCTCAGATCAACCCCTCTCTTCGCAATATTAATTTACAGTATTTGGCTCTGAACATTAAAGTCATCTGTACCTTTTCAAAATTTCAAAGACCCTCGCCCTCCCCCCTTCCACTGATGAAGGCAGCCCGGGAGAGGCTGCGTCCTAACGTAGCACCACTTGATAACTCCCCCCACACTCTCCCCTCTGAAAGTCTGCAGGGATCCTCCGATGCATCCGATGTGTCAGAAATAATTAGGTTTTGTCAGATTTATCATCGTGGCACAAACCCCTCTCTCGGCTCGGCCCGCGGATCATGTACTGCCTTGTTTGTGTGTGACAGCATTATTATTCTTTTTAGTCACCCAACACTTTTTTTCTCCCCCTTCCGCCCACTCCTCTGTTGTTCTGAAGGCAGAGTCGCTCTCAGCGCTGCCTCCTGCCCGCCGCTTATTGACAGTGGCTAAAGATATTCATCCATTTAGAGTTAAAAACATGTATCATGGTGTCCAAGCGAACTGCCGGGCTGAAGTTGATTAATGGCAGAACCTAGCTGCCGGTTTCTCCTCTCGAGGAGCGACACGCACGGCCCTGCATATTAACGAGTGGCTGCGCTTTCTATTAACTAGATAAAAAAGCCTCTCCTCTGCCTTTGCTCCAGGGGGCTCAGGGATGAGAAATTCTCCATTATTTATCATGCGGCCTGTTTCCCCACCCCCCCCCCCCCCTCCTTTTTTCTTCTTTTTCATGTATTTCAAACCTGGTGTCATCAGTAAAACTTTTAAATTCCAAACATGTCTGGAACATCACAGCTTATCGGCCTTACAGGGGCCGTGTTTTTTCATGCAATTTTCATGCGCTTACTTACAGTAGACGTGAGGCATCGTGTCGAATTAGCGTCTCACAAACAACATGCTTGTTACTCTCACTAGATAATGCATGTCACGGCTGTTATGTGCCATTTTTTTGACACTACAAAATATTTATCTGTGAGCACAACACCACAGTAATTCCAAGAAACCCTCTATCTCTTTTACTCTCTATAATTCAACAGCTGTAGTAATTAGCATGCTATTTAAAATGACCGGTGAGTTCAAAAAAGTGCTATCTTAAAGGTCACCTATTATGCAAAATCCACTTTTTCATGTCTTTTAAACATCAACATGTGTCCCCTCTGTGTAAAGATACTCTGAAAGTTTCAGGAACAAATATTCGCTCACTTTTTGTCCTGATCCATTGATTTTGGCCACTTTATGATGTCATAACGTTTTTTTGGGTTGTGTAACCATTAGCCAACCACCAACCAAGGTAACCCCCCCCGCCCCCCCCACACCTTATCACCTGAATCTCCTCCTGGAGCACCATTGTGTTCTTTTTAACCAGATATCTCTCAGAGGGGCGTGGGGAGTGGCTCCTTATTTTCATCTAAAGTAACAGACAGAGAATCAGCACTTTGGAAACAGGGCTGAAACAGAGGGGATTATGGGATGCTACAATGCATGATCTGTTTGGTGTTTGGAGCCAAACACTTCAGAGACATGTTCTGTATATATCTGAGAGCTATAATGTATTGATAAAAAACAGTATAATAGGAGACCTTTAAATCCAAATCTAACATTTATGGTGCTTGTGTCGCAGGCAACAGATTCACGTGAAGGAGGAGCCGCTCAACATGGACGACGAGGACTGTCCGATGTCACTGGTGACGACAGCCAATCACAGTCCAGAGTTGGACGACGACCGGGAGCTGGAGGAAGGGAACTTATCAGAAGACCTGGAGTGACTAGGATACCGTTTTTGGCCGACGTATCCCTCCGCCCCGCCGCACTGTTTCTCCCACACAGACCTCCTGCAAGACTAAGAAACCACTCCACAGTCTCTCTGTGTCTCTCTGACTATTTATTGAGCATGCATCCGGATGGAGACTGGTCCAAAGGAACTCTTTGTCGCAGCCCTTTGGGAACAAGACAGGCATGAGATGTCTGATTAAAAGAAAACTTCATTAGAGATGGCGTGGCCACGTACAGTACAAGGATGATGGACTCAAGGATACTGGGAGAAAAAAAAACAAATCACGTTCCGTTGAAAGCTAGCGGCCTCATATACTGCCAAAAAGGAAGACGTTTTATGTTTGTGAATAATCCCCCCCCCCCAGTAGTTGTTCATGTCTAGAGACGATTGCTGGTTCAATTCAACTTGTTGCTCTGTTTTCATTTGCACAGGAGTAGTCTCAGAAATCCGTGTCACTGCCTGTATGTTGCTACTATTATGAATTATGAACAGTATATTATTTTTAGCTTCTTTTTCTTTTAACCATGGTTAATTTCAAAATCTGACACCACCAACTGTAAATGCCATTCCCTGAATCACACCGGAAATAACGGAAAACTGCGGATCCAAGACTGTTGTTGCAGCTGTCCAAAAAAAAAAGAGAAAAAAAAAAGTTGGCTTCCAGTCTATTATCTGTTTTGTGGTTAAAAGTAAAAAAAACTGAAAATTAAGTTGGAGTAAAATTACTAGTTTGTATAAAGCACCATTTACAAAACAGATGCATTTCCGCATAATGTCCCTCTTGCTGTCCTCTTTACCTCCTCGTTCTAAAGCTTTGTCTACCTGCAAACAGTCACAGGCAACAGCTAGAAACCAAAGCCAACACTAGCAATGGCCAATAGCTTATAGACAGAAGCCACCAAACTCCTCTTGGTCCGTCTTCTGCGACTTTAAACTAGTACAAAGAGAAGCTTTCGTTCCACAAACTACCTTCGAATAACCTCTGGGATTGTTTCATTTAGCCCTATACAAAGATGATCACGAGACAGAAAGAGAGAGGGGGGAATAAATGCTGATTTTGATGTGTAATTTGATTCATAGAGCATCCACTTTGGAGATTTTCTGCCAGAAATACTGTAGCTAAAAAAAAGGGTTAGAGAGCAGTTGGTGACCGGTTAGAGAGCAGCTAACTGTAAAAGTGGATCATGACCAAAACAAAACATTTGTGTATTCAATGGAAGTGCAGAAACATTGTGTTGTTGTGAAGTTTCTTTCCCTTTTTGTTACGCATTACACTTTTTGCTTTTTATTTCCATGATTTTTTTCTAACCTGGTGAATTTGTAATGTTCTAAGTGGGACTGTCAAAATAATATCACGTCTTATTTCCGTGGCGGTTTTCCGAGGCCGCGTCGAAAACTGAAAACATCGCTAACCAAACATGAAAAATATCTAGTGAAGCCAAATAAGTCATAATTTCAAGTTGATAGGAAATGGCTTGGTTACCATGTGAAAGCAAATCATAATAGCCATTGCAGAAGAGGATAGCTAAGGTGAAGGTGGTATTTGCTTTAACGTCATTGAATACTCATCGTGTGGTTCATAGCTTCTCAACTATATAGATACACCTGGTGTCGGCACTGATGTACTCTGTATGGGTAACCAGCTTTTTATAACACACTTGGTATTTATAGAGACTAAAGAAATATAGTGCATCCCGTCATTTTCCTCACAGTCATCTAGAAAAGTGTTGTTGCTTTAAAGGTCATTTCTGTTTTCAGTAAACCAAAGTTACACAAAGTTCTGCCTCCTCTTGTACGGGATAAAGAAATGCTAAACCAACCACACACACACACACCCTGTCAGAGCCTAGCATACATGTGCGCGGACACACACGCACGCAGATCCTGAGCTCACCTCCTCGTTGGGTCCGGCTGCAGAGGATGCTGTCAGAGAACCAGCGAGTGGCTTTGCATTGTGCTGTAATGACCAAAATGGAAACACTGTGCATAGTTTGTTTTCAAGTGTTGCGCCGAGCCCAGGGATTGGCTGTAAGAGCTTAACACGCAGACACGTGCAGTACTGTACAAACACGCAGCATGTAAAGTACACACACACACACACACATGCCAGTACCACGTCAAGAGGGCCCAGGAACAAAGCTTATCCCTTCAATACTTTAGCTGGAGACAACAAAACGACTTGAAGACGACGTTCTTAATAATCTTACCACACCAAATAAAAAGGACGCTGCGTCTTTAAAAAAAAAGACAAAAAAAGGGTTCTCCCACTTACCCAAAAAGGCTTTCTAAAAGCTTCTACCTCTGCACAACAACAATTCAGAACAATTATGACAGATTGCACGAGTTATTAGAGCGCCACAAGAGCTGTTACACTTTGCTTGTCTCATAGGACGTGGCTCAAACCAACGTTTACATTCCCTGCGTCAAGATATGGAAGATTTGCATTGTAATAGGTTGTCCTCAAACATTTGTAGAATGATAATGTATAGATTACCTGTAAGGGAATATTGTGTTTTAAAAATGCATGTCTAAAAATCATTTGGTGGACTGGAAACAAGAACCAATAAAAAGAATATAATAAAAATCATCGGGACGATGGCCTAAATGTACAATGCATAGGAGTGCGTTACCTCAGATATACTGTTTTGGGAGGGATAAAACCTGTCAGCCACAGAATGCATATTACCTGTAGATTTGCATGGGTTTTGTATAAATTAAGTAAAAAAAATGTCTAAAATAGTTGCTTGCACATAATACCAGAAAGACCTCCAGAACTGCGATCTGCTCCTCCACTAGATTTTAGGATTGTCTGGATTTTCTGGGTTGATTTTGTCTGTATTTTGATAACTGTGCATACTTATGTAAAAAAATGTTGGTGGACCCATAAATTTACCAGACTTTTTTCTAAGAGGAAAAAAAATCTCAGTGTTTCTTTTCTGACTTACCTGAATTTTTACTGTTTCTCTCTCATTGCTCGCTAAGAATAGCAAACCTGCTTTTTCTGCATCTGCTTTGCGTAGCTGTAAGGCTTAACCTAATGTGTGTATTTATTGCTTGTACCTCTGTGCATACTTTATGAAGCATTATGTCTGGCAGTTGAGTCATGTATCCTTTCTACTGCTATCCTTCTCTAATAATTGGGAATATGATCCCCCTATGTATACAGTAAATTGGGACTGTAGCAAACATATGTTTATGTAATTGGTGAAAACTTTTATGTTTTTCTTTCATTTCCTTTCGAGATTCAACTACTTTTTTTGATACTCTTCATTACTGTGTACTGTGTCCATACGTTAAAGGTTCTCTGACATTAGAAGGTCACGGTTGAGAATTGTAACAGACGTTATTATTTTCTGTATTCATGGCATTTCACTGCTGAATAAAATAAAGGACCAAAACTTGGAATTTGAAAAGCAACTGTCTACCTCCAGCATCAGAGAGTACCCTTCTTTCCCTCCACTGTTACACATACATTCTACAAAGGCACAGCCATGAAAAACGAGCACTCTTTTAACGTTTCAGGAGCTTCAGAGATGTGAAAGGGAAAAAAAACAATTAAAGTTTAATGTATATGTTACAAGGCTTTGTTCCAGCTTCCAGCACCTAGAGTCTTGTTTAGAAGAGCGGGACGAGGCACCGCGTTGCCCGCCCCTCTGGACCTGTAATGGGTTTAGCCTTTGTACGATTCAAGCCCACTGCTTTCATGTAGCACGAGCGTGTCCCAGTATACACTGCTGTGTACCTCTGAAAGGCTTTTGTAAGGAACGGCTTCATTTTCTGGGCTACATACTCCAAAAGTGGTTTTGGCGCACTACATTGTTAAGTCTGTTGTCATGCAAAAAATATCAGCCTTATTAACATCAGGGCTCTGCGTCATAGAGAAAGAAAAAGATTTCATCAGACGTCCTCCATTTTCCATCCGTCAAGACAGCAGTTTCCTCTTGACACTTCAAAAGAAAGAGAAAATACGCCTCTTAGCCTTTCGATGGATGGATGTTGACGCTATGACAGGCCGTGTGGCTAAATCAACTCCAGCAGGCCTACCACACCTTGTCGGTCATGGAGCAGCCGCACACTGACACCCTCATTGAGATTCAAACTACATCTACCATGACCAATAGGTTGCCCATTAGCTCGTCTGTATGCCGAGAGCCGTCTACACGTTCCAAAGGCTGCTCTGGGACACCGTGGGACCCTTTGAATCATGTCCGCTGGTCATTTAATCGTAACGCTGATGCATGTTCTTTTTCCCTACCATATGATGTCCCATGAGAGGTCAGAACAACAGTGTTTTTCATAAAGGCACACAGACACATTCTCTTTCCTCCCCCCCCAATGACAGTCCCAGGCATCAGCCATGGCAGGCTCCTGTTATCTCCTCAGCAATGGCGTTCCAGAGCATTAGATAGCTCGCGAGGCACTCTACTTTCGTGCTATTTATGCACTTGGAAGTGTTTGTGAATTCAAGTGAGGGATCGCATACGGAGCGCAACAAGGGCCGCTGTGTACTACACAACATCAGAGGGAGCTCCGACATTAAAGTGTGAGAGCGCCTGCTATAGACCCTTCTTTCAAAGGCCATGAAATAATAATGGGTTGTGGTTAGAGAGGTATCCGTGAGTCACACTGGCTGCTTTTCATAAAGTGGAGTTATTTACAGTACGATGAATAAAAGAAAGGGTAGCTGGTGGTGCAAGCCTTTTCCACATGAATGGCGGAGGGAAAAGAAGTCCCTTTAATATACAGTGGCAGAGCAGTATACTTCATGAGAGGCTGGGAAACATAATGCACCGACATTCAAGTTTATTTATTGGGGGGGTTTTATGAAGCAATAGTTAAACATTTTCTGAAATATGTTTATTCACATCGAGACTGTCATGGTTTTGAGTTTGCCTTCTTTTACTTATCATAATTATTTTGTTTGTGTTTTAACTCTGCTCTCTTTTCAGACCAGGCCACTCCAATGTATTGTCAGGAGATTAACTCCACCTGTTCCTCCTCTCCACTCACCTGCTCATCATTCCATAATCAATTCCTTAGTATACAAACGGTCCAATTTCACCTGTCTGCTCAACCCAGAACAACTCTGTCTCACGGCATTTCGTGTTATAGTCACGACATTTAATCTATTGATTCTTGTTCACCAATCTAGCCTGAGTTGAAAAAATACAGATTTCAGTATTCTGAGGCTCTGAGCCCCATTTATTTTCCTCACAAAAACAGTCCGACATTATACGATTTAAAAATAAAAACAATAATCGTGGCTTGATATTGAGTAAGAACCATAGACTGTCTGTATAAAGAACATGTTTTTATGAACCCCACAGCTTCCACAGCTTCCGGTCTTCCAAGACCCGACCGGACAAAAAGACGTGTTGCAGGCACGAAACATACTACCAATAGAAATGAGGGCTGTCAGTCGATTAAAATAGTTAATCGCGATTAATCGCACATTTTTGATCTGTTCTAAATGTACCTTAGAGGAATATTTTTCAAGTTTTTAATACTCTTAACATATGAGTGGACAAATATGCTTTATGCTAATGTTTATTATCATTTGAACAATGACAAATATCCTCATGAATATTAAACACAACAACCTCTGAACATTACAAATATTCGCCTCAATTCAACCTGGAACCTAATACTGTGTGTGTGTGTGTGTGTGTGTGTGTGTGTGTGTGTGTGTGTGTGTGTGTGTGTGTGTGTGTGTGTGTGTGTGTGTGTGTGTGTGTGTGTGTGTGTGTGTGTGCGTGCGTGCGTGCGTGCGTGCGTGCGTGCGTTGGAGCTATGTGCAACTCAAGGCATATGCTCGAACGGGAGCTGCCTGGACGCTGCAATCATGTTGCGCGCACTATCCGTGCTGAGTGTGCTGACTTTTCGTACAATGTCCCACTGTCTGGCTTCCTGCATAAAGTCAAGTGCTCGGCGCAGTTGTGGCGAAATATCGCTCCTCTGTTTTCATTTAAACAGCTCCTTAGATCCGTTAGCGCAGCTAGCTAGCACCAGATGCTAACAACAACAATGCACGCAAGGTCTCTCTCTCGCTCGCTCGGGCCAGAGATACACACACCCTCCCGGTCCTCCCGATAGCCAGTCGGTGCCTGCCGGTGAGCGTGGAAGTGTGGTCTGCCACAAGCGGGCGGCAGGAGCGGGGCTGTCAGCATCAGCTTGTAGATGGTATTTTAAACTCGATGCGCTCTGAAACTACGGGGCGGCCGAGGACAAAAAATACACATGCGTTAATCGCGTTAAAATAATTAGTGGCGTTAATTTTTTGTTGCGTTTGCCTTGACAGCCCTAATAGAAATGCATTGCTTTTAAACTCCTTCTGTGTGACACGAAAAAAAAAAAGGGGGAACTCGTGTTGGTGAACACGAATCAATGTCGAGTCAATGTCGTGACTATAACACGAAATGCCGTGAGACTGGGTTGGTCTGCTGCCTGATTGTCTTCAAGCCATGTGCCGTAGCTTTCCAGCATTTTGTACCTTAGCCTGACAGTGTCTGTGTTTTGACCTTTGTCTGTTCTTCCCCCGGACTTTGATTTTGCCTAGCCTTTTGTTGAGATTGTTGAGAAGCTGCAGCCAGGAAACTACTTCTAAAGAGGGGTAAACAACTACTGTAGCTAAATTAGTGGGCAGATTCCCTCAGTTTGGAATGAAGACTGGCTAGATGCTATGCTACGCTAAGCTAACTAGCTGCCGGTTGAAGCTTCATATGTGCTGCAAATACATGAGATTGGTAAGGATCTTTTTGTCATAAGGATTATTCAACATGTACACTGTGTTTTTATTGAAAAGGGTTCTTCCTCCCGCATTTAAAGGAGCATTTATTGTCCACAAAAGCAGGATTATTTGCCCAAAATAGAAGCATTTTTGTTGTGTCCTGTTTCTAGTGGATGAGTAGATGTATTAAGTCAAAAGTCCCACCAGAAGTTTATTTAGCCACAATCTGCCGCCGTTCAATGATGTATTTATTCCACCGTTGCAGGAAAAGTAACCTCATTTGTGATGCGCCACAAAGTAGATAACGGTGCACACTGCAATGTTTTAAGCCAATAGTTTTTTTTAAATCCCTAAACTAAAAAGGACTTCCTGGAAATGGTGGTTCCATTTTCAATGTCCTTAAAACCAAGTTTGATGTTTACGAAAATCCAAATCAAATATAAAAAGCTACGTTTACTTGCTTGTGTGATCTAGGCCTAACTCTCATCGTGAGAGAAAAAAAGTGGCACTTTATAAACTTTAAAGCTTTAGCCACTTCTTCAGTTGTACTCGAATGTCAGTGTATTTTCTGTTTCCCAGCCATCATGATCTAGAATTGTATTTAGGTATGGGCAGTTTTAGCGCAAACTATTCCTTGAACTTCCTGACACCGTTTAAGATACATCTCGGTACAGTACAATGGTAAGAGGCTAAACGGCTTAAATCGAGCCCTTCTAAATTAGATCATGGCATCATTCATTTCATCTCCAACACTGACCAATTAGGTCAATTTATGAACCGTCCCCTTGTGGGATTGGGTGGTAAATATCTCCAGTCATACAGTTTATTGATTAAGAGTGCCGTCTCTCCATCTCTCTGCGTCTCTTTCTTCCTCTCTCCAGCCCTTCTGACCTGACGATGCGTGGCGGCTCCCGAGAAGACCCTCGCCCCCAGGCTGCAAAATTGCCTGCTAAATAGTCCGAGGCAATGGCAACGCTAATTGAGATCATCATTATTATAATTGCGAGCCCTGAAAAGCGCGTCTTAAATAATTTGCATTGCTCTCAAGTTGATATTGGACGCAGTGCAAAAATAATTGCATAGCTGCGAGGCATGATGCTCGGTTCGGTGGCGGGCGAGGGGACAATTTGCCCGCTCCCCCCCCCCACCCGGCTCCAGGAACCAGTTGGGTGCCACGAGGCGTTTTGCTCCACGTCAGATGCCTTCAGAGGAGTCACGTGTTTGTCGTGTCAGTGGAGGTTTTGGTCAATTTATTTTCCGTTTAGGTCGGTCTTTTCACAGCCCACTTTTATGTATGTGTTGAGAGCCACTCAAATCAAAACTTTGACATACAAAAAATCAGATGAGATGAGACTTCTTTAATGCTTGTTGTGTTTACCGCTGGTCACTGTGTTTTGATGGTAATGCACCAGCCACACGTCAGATTTCCCACTCTGTCAAAAGGAGCTGCTGACATAGACAAAAAATAAAACTGTGTGACCCCGATACATAAAACTTCACTCGTCATTACATCAGAGAACCTGACGTAGAGGTACTTTTTCACTTTGTGCACGCACTGGTGTAATGTATGCAAGAGAAATGCTTATTTCTCCAACTGAAACAAGGGATTAACCCAACAAAATGGTTAGAAAGTGCTGATATTCATGAATTCTTGCCTGTGGCATTATCTCCCACATACACACCCACACAC